ATAAAATATAAAATATAAAATATAAAATATAAAATATAAAATATAAAATATAAAATATAAAATATAAAATATAAAATATAAAATATAAAATATAACGTATAAAATATAAAATATGAAAAAAAAAAACCAAAGAAAAAAAGAAAAGAAAAAAAATTGCAAGACATAAACAAGTTGGACAAAGCCCACTCACCTTCGGATTAATCTGTACAGCCCTCTGCAAAATACCACTCACGCCCATATCCGTCGAAGAGCTGCTAAACAGGGCCCCCAACCACGTCGCCGCCAAAAAGACAAGACACGTCTCGATGGAGTTGGCGCCGACCAGCACGACGCGGTCCCCCTTGGCGACGCCGCGTGCCTTCATGGCGGCCGCCAGCCTGGCGGTCGCCTGGCGCAGGCCGGCCCACGAGCAGTGCCTGACGGCGGAGTTCCCCTCGCGGACCTCGGTGATGGCGGTCTTGGCGTCCTCCTTGCCGGCGGTGCCATGGTGGTGGGAGGGGTCGGCGGACGAGCGGGCGTAGAGGATGTTTTCGGCCCAGTTGAGGCGGACGCCGCGGAACCAGCGCGGGATGGAGTCGATCGGGGCCGATTCGTCTACGACGGTGGTGTAGGACCCCGTGTGGATGAGGTTGGCGTAGGCGAAGACTTCGGCCCAGAAGCGGGACCGGTTGGCGCAGGACCAGCGGTAGAGGTCGGGGTAGGTCTGGGAACAGAGTTGTGAGTTTATAAGTTTACGTATTTGAGGAATGTAAGACAAGGAGATGACGAGAGAGAGAGGGAGAGAGAGAGAGGGAGGAGCTCCGGTTGGCAAACCTCGAGATTCAGACCATGTTTCCTATTGAGATCCTGCATGAACCTGTACATTTCCGTATTCTGGGGGTCTGGGTGCTCCCAGAGCTTCCTCGGCATCTCGGCTGTAGCCATGATTCCTGTTTGCTACGTATTAAGTGCTAAAAAAAATCCACGGTCTTCGAATACAGTAGCAACAGCACGTCGGTAGTTGCGGGATTGGAAAACCCGCGGGAAGAAAAGGAAGATGTGCGAAGGACGCGGAAAGTGGCAGAGACGAAAGGATGCAGACACAAGCAAAGCAACACGTGTAAGGTCGAGTCGTTCGGTTTTCGGCTCAAGCCGTCGCGAGTTTGGGGGAGATTGTGCTTCGTTATTGGACTGTCTAGCCATCAGTCAGCTTCCAGCTTCCAGCTATCGTCTCCCCTTGTCAAAATCCCCGCTCGATTCCGGGGTGGACTGCGGGGTGGGATCGGCAGGGGGGTGGAGGAGGAGGTGGGGGGTTCCATCCCGGGAGCGGCCCGGAGCAAAATAGGTAACCCCCGTCTCTTTCCTTTCTCGGCCCTGCTTTGGTGATGAAAATGCGACGTTTATGTACGGCTCAAATTAGTATCGTAAGGCTCCATGACGTCTTTGAGGTTTGCAGCTTCCCAAGATGACGGCGAAACAGAGAGCCGCGTTCCCGTCACCTCGCTGATTTCCCATGTTGCAGTCGTCAACGATAAGTATATTCACCGCTTCTCTGGCCATACTCTATGCGTCACCACCGTGCTCTCCAACTGGTTCCCCGGAAGCCAAGATGGTTAGATTACTGATCCAATCGATCGATACTAGTGCCCCGTTGGTTCGGATCTGGGGGCCATAGGGTTCTCTTGTGTCATGTTCTTAAATTTGTCATTGATCGATATCCCGAAAAAAAAAAAAAAGGAACCTCGGTTAACATGTTGTTCACTCGTCGAAAATCTCATCTTGCCCTATCCCTATACCTACGACGTGCAAGGCGTTTTACACCTTCGCTGACTTCCCTCGGGAAACGGTCATGTTTGTTCGTCGGACGTTGATTCCGAGTTACAACGTCCACGTGCTTGTACCGATAACTCGGATGGTGTCGGCATGCCCTCCGGGTATCGGTAAAGCACGTGGGTGAACTCCGTACCTACGGAGTATGAATACTTACGAAGTATAGAAGAAATTCACGTGGTTGCCAATTCCAGTACTCGAATGTACTTTTTGAGTAGAACCACGCGGTGCGGAGTATCCTCGACAGTGCCAGGTGGTTCAGTGGTTCAATACCCAGAAACCCCTCCGAGGGCATGCATCCGCTAGTCGATGGAAAGTGAGGCGCAGGATTGGTGCAGGAGCCGTCGGCTGGTAAAGAGAAATACCAGTGTATCGGTGGTTGCGCCGCTTATTATTGCGGTTGTACTTAGTGGTCATGAATAGCTTCCTAGGAATTATAAAGGACTGGGCAAGATGACGATGACGATGACAATGACATCCACACAAGGCCGGCAACAGGTATAATGAGGCCGTGGAAACATCCTGCCGTACTCAGCAGGCCACTGGGCGCATTTCTAAAGTCGATGGTGGTCGTTTGCTGTGTGTCGTGGCGGGTTGCTTCCGTGTTAATGAAGGGGCGGGCATAGCCACTTCCCCCAACTGATATGATACTCACGCAGACCTAGGGATGTCAGTCTAATGCCTACCACAGAGTCTCAAGAGGACGGAGAACAAGGTCTGACTCATTAGCTACGAGGTAGCGGCCTCGGGCTGGAAATTGTGGGCTTCGTTTGAATCCGGGGAACACACTGACGTCTCCGGAACTGCTGGATGGGTCCAAGACCGTCCAAGACCAACCGACGATATTATCGGTCTTGGCTATTTCTCGTGACATTATATGCATGCAGACACCAGACGTTCCGACGTCATCCCTGGGAGCATAGCATAATTAACTGGATTTCTCTGATTGCCAGTTAGCGGAACAACCTGCAAGTTGGGTGTACACGTGTACAGAGTTACCAGATAAATTGAGCGGTATGAACTTCATATGGCATCCATTGGGATGAGTTCTCTGCGGCCCATCCTCTTATCTTTACCCGCATCCCGTCTTCCCCTTGATGTATTGCCACGCCTGGGGTTCTCTTCGGGGGACGCGCAAACACCCAGAAACACTCGTTGATTAAAGGTAACGACGTAACGACCATTGGGTCTCACCGTATGCCCACTCAAGATGGTCAATGCGTGGTCATGAACGCCCAAGTGAGGTATGAAAGGCACGGATATGAAGAGGAACCCCCCCCCCCCCCCCAGTTATGAAGTAATTACCAAGAACATGAGCCGGGATAACAAACATTTCCTTCACAACAAGTAATTAATACGTTCAGTCGCTCTCTTCCCATGTTTGTGTCGCGACACGACACAAAACACACGTAATGCAGATCGCAAGGACGGTAAAGGTAAAGATGGTTTGGGTTTCAACCGAGTGGGAAGAGCATCAACGGTGAGACTTGGGTATGCACAACCAAGTCCAAGCATCACCGATCACCCCAAAAATAGGGAGAACATGTCTGAGGTCATCTTGAAGGTGCGCTTGGAGAAAGGTCAGAGACACGTTGAGATGGCGTTTGAGGTGGGTGGGGACAGCAGTTGCACATCAGACGGGATGTGCCTCTTTCAGTGCTGTTGTGCGTTTTGCGTGTCACAACTCTGTTTGGCCCTCAACGGGGCCCTAGAGGGCTGGGAATCATAGAAGAAAGGGAAAAGAAGACGAAAAAAGGGAGCGATGACGGATGCTAGGACCCCTGTGCCTACATGTGGTGCAGGCTGGACCACGGGAGAAGAAGACGTCTCGAAGTTGGCTGCGTTCGGCTGAAAGTTGGTAATACTCGGTACGCCAGGTACGGAGTACGGATGGTTTTAGGTAATTAGCCTGCAGGTTGGGGACGGGGCACTTACCGACGGGGTTGCCGGTACGTGAGACCCTTGTCACCGGCATCGGAAGAAGTCGGAGGAAGGATTTTCGTGACGTCTATTTTGTCGAGAGTCGACACGCGAGATGTGCGATTGACTTTCGCATTTGCTTCCCCGCACTTGTTCCCTTGCGACTGCGGTGAGGATTTACCCAATCCTTCCTTTTCTTCTTTTTTGTCCTCGTTATGCGTCAAGAAAGCGGAGAGACTTGCGGGCAGGCGATGGAGCTACCGGGTCAATCAGGAAGACGCCACGACGGGGACTGGGGACTGGGGATTGGGGTTTCGGGACACTAACCCAACCAGGAACCCGTACACCACCCATTGACCAATTGGCAAGCGGCACACTGCAAATTATCCGAAGTGAAAGCTGTGTCACCTGGTCTGGTCCTTTGGTACGGAGTAGGCGGTGTACATAATTAATTACGAAATAGGTGAAGTTCGGTGACCATCATGGATTTATTTCTTCTGTTTGTGGTCGTTCGCCGAGTTCTCGGGCTGTTCCATTCATATCATCTTATCGAAGGAATCGGGGTGTTTTGAAGAAGGGACCGGAATGTCACTCCCTTATCTTTTCTTGCGTTCCGTCCGGAGCCCGTCGGACACGGAACGGCGGCTGGGTGACATCCATCGGTGAAAGAGAGAACGCGCCCGTTGCCGATAAGCCCCGTCGGTGTGGTGTGGTAGGGTGTGCCAACGGAAGGTGTGCCACACCACCGAAAAAAAAAACGAGGACTGCAACCAAGCAGCGAGCGGTAAAGTGATGTGCCAACCCGTCGGGCATGCAGGGACAGGGGTCAAAATGGTAGAAGAGCTGCAACGCCATGCAAGGGAAAGAGGTCTACAACGTACTTACGCGGCTGACTCCTTACCTTTTTCGTCTTTTTGGTTCGTTCTCCAACCTCTCCAATCTCCCAACAAAATTTCGGTGACGACGTTCATTTCTCTGTGTACGTAACGGCCTACACCTAGTTCGTGAGTGCGCGATGTTTTACCAGGATGGTGCGAGCGTTAGGAGCGAATGATGCTCAGCGGAGGCACTGGTTATCAGGTACTTTTTTTCTTCTTTTTTTTTCGTTTCTTTGTTTTATTAGGGTCCGAGCTTGTTTAATCACACTTGCTACGAAAGGAGAATGGTAACATCGTATGGGGAATATCATTTACGTGGAAGAGGAAGATCGTCAAGCAAGGCTTCGAGGAGTCGTACTTTCCACAAAATTCCCAGATACACGGAGTAGGTCATCGTGGGTAATAACTGTACTCCGTGCCTAACCTGCCAAACATCTTGTTGAACCTCTCCTTCCGGAGGGGAGTAATTACATTAGGTACCCAGAGGATCCGGCGTAGATCCGGAGTAGATCTGGTGGATGATAGGCATTCATCCTCTTCGGTCCTGGATTCGTACCCCAGAAGTACCATCATTCATCAACGAGCACAACACATCCAACTAAAATAATGTGCTAGGAAACCAGTCCGATACTTCCCACTCCGTCTTTTCCTTCGCATCCTCCGCCTGCATTAGCGCTATCCTAAGGTACCTTAAGCTTCAACCCGCTCCTTCTTGCCTTTCCCCAGACCTGCGGGCACGCTAAGGCAGGACAAGGACTCACATAGCCAGGTCGTTGCTTCCGACTACGGAGAGGACGTTGAATTTGAGTCATCCAGTTACAACGTACAACGTAGTAGGAAGTACCTTACCTCCAACCCTACCTTATTTTGTACGTTCTCAACAGAGTCCTTCTCTGGTCCAGATCTTACATCCACCTCACATGACGGCCGCCTTGCTTTTTTAAATCTCTCCAATTCGCCTACCACCTCCCTTTTCCTTCTTCTATTCGTAAGGAATATTCCTCCTCCGCCTTTTTTCTTCTCCCCGTCACCTCGCCCTCTTTCTTGCTTCCTTCCTTCCTTCCTTGTCCTCCAGGTTGGTCACACGCAAAACCATACCATACGGATTAAGCCGGGACTCTGTTTGGGCAGCAAACTATCCGAACCTACCTTGGGGAGAAAGGAACAAGAAGGAGGCCTCAATCGAAATTCCATTCGTCTTCCTCATCTCCCGAGATCTCCCGCCACCCCACCCCCTTTTTTTCTTCTTTTTTTTTCCATCTGATCACACTATACGAATATTCAGCCCATTTCAAAAGGTGGTCGAGCTACCATCCCAGATTCCCGCCTTGGGCAGGCCTCGTGTTTGTCGAAATCCCCCAATCAGGGTCCTGGCTAAAGTACCGGTACCGGTACCGGTACGGAATACCGTTACCACTCCCGGACCTCGATCCACCCCTCACTCCCTCCCCCAGGGGTCCACATCCTATTCTTGAAACTACACCCCCGCCAGCTCTGCGACGGAGAGGCCCCTAAACCTCCCTTACGCCCCCCTTACCCACCTGGAACGGACTACACGTACTGGAGGACTCGTCCGAGAGCCTCCCCCCTTGCCAGAGCTTACCGGATGGGCCAAAGTCACGGTGCTTGGCTCGCAGCCTCCTCCCCTGTCCGATCCGGATCGCATCTCTTAAACAGACTCGTCCTCTCTCGAAGACGACTGCGATTCCTTTCCTTGCGTCCGACTTCATTTTCCTTCTCAACAAGCCTCTCACGTGTCCCCGTCTCTTCCTTCATCTCTTCCTTCATCTCTTCCTTCGTCTCTTTACCGCTAACCGCCCGTTTTCATCTTGACGCCGCTGGTGCTGGTCCCGGCTCTGTGTCTGCTACTGCTACTACTCCTGCTCCTGCTCCCGCCCCCGCCCTTCTTCGCCTCGGTTGTTCTCCTACTCGCACACTCCCTTCCCGCACTACCTCGGCCGCTAGTAATTGTAATACGGCCAATTCTACCACCCTCACCCGCCCGTCCTCTTTTCTGCGGTCATACTCCGTCTCTTCGACTCAGCTCCGCGGGCCCATGATGCCGATGGCGTCCTCCTACAGCACCGCCTCCAGCTCCGATATATCCACCCCACGTTCTGCCTCACCTGTCGCCTCGTCCGTCGCCTCGTCCGTCGCCTCTGCCCGCTCCTCTCATTCTTCTATATCTACTAAACGCATGTCCATATCCAGTCGCAGGATGACAGACTTCAACCCCATGTCTTCCATCAACATCGCTGAGCTCGAGGATAAGATGAAGACGGCCGCCCTCGACCAGCATCGGGGTTATGCCCAGAATCACTACCCGGAAGTTCAACAATACCGTCCAACCGAGACCATCCCCAAGTCATCGGCTTGTGGTCACCAGGTCTTGCGTGAACCCGTCTGGAACAAGGGTATGTATAGTCATGCTCCATCCCATCCCATCCCATCCCATCCTATCCCCATCCCATCCCATCCTATCCCCTTCCCATCCCTTACCCATTCCTGCTCTTCGACTTCCTATTCTTCCTACCCGACTTGGGTTTCTCTTTTCTCTCTTTTACCCCTTCATCACCTACGTCCGCATGGCTTCCGATCCTCCCCAATCAAAACAGTCCATTCATCCAACTAACATGCTGTCCTCACTAGGCCTTTCCTTCACCCCAGAGGAACGTGTGTCCAAAAACCTCACCGGCCTGATCCCCCACGTCATGGAGAGCCTCGAGACCCAGTCGGCTCGGGTCATGAAGATGATCCAGACTCGCCAGACCAACATCGACAAGTACCTCTACCTGTCAAATCTCAAGGCCCAGAACATCGACCTGTTCTATCGCGTTCTCATCGACAACATCCGCGAACTGATGCCCCTCGTCTACACCCCTACCATCGGCGACGTCTGCCTCCAGTACTCCAGTCTCTACACTCGCCCGGAGTCGCTGTACATTTCCATCAAGCAGCGGAAATCCATTCGCACAATGCTGCGGAACTGGCCCTATCCTGAGCCTGAGATCTGCGTCGTGACAGACGGCTCCCGCATCCTGGGACTCGGCGATCTGGGTATCAACGGCGTGGGCATTTCTGTGAGTTCGTTCCGATGCATGGCGAGTGGTGGTGACGGGTGTGACGACTTGGAGCTAACAACTCACCTAACCCCACCTAGATCGGAAAGCTGGCCCTCTACACAGGTGCCGCTGGTATCAACCCCGCCAAGACTCTTCCCATCGTTCTGGATACCGGAACCAACAACGAGACCAATCTGAAGGATCCCTTCTACCTCGGCCTTCGCTCCAGGCGCGTGTCCGTCGAGGAACAGCAGGCTTTCATGGACGAGTTCATGGAGGCCGCCAACGATGTCTTCCCCAACATGGTCGTTCAGTTTGAGGACTTCGACACGGAGAAAGCCTTCAAGTACCTTGACCGCTATCGGAATAAGTACAAGTGCTTCAACGACGACGTCCAGGGAACTGGCGCCGTTATCCTGGGAGGGTATGTGCCTGATGTCCCCAAAACCAACTCAATTTGGCGATCTGTTTTGCTAACCAATACCAGCTACATCGGTGCTGTCAACCTGTCCGGCGTGCCTGTTGATGAGCAGCGTCTGGTTTTCATGGGTGCCGGTTCCGCCGGCGTTGGCGTCGCGAAGCAACTGGTCGAGTACTACACCCGGAGAGGCCTCAGCGAAGAAGAAGCGAAGCGGAAGTTTTGGCTCGTCGACACCAAGGGTCTAGTCACCCAGGACCGTGGCGATGAGCTCGCCGAGCACAAGAAGTACTTTGCCCGCACGGACAACAACGGCCATCAATTCCGCACCCTGGAAGAGGTGATTGAGTATGTCAAGCCGTCTGCCTTGATCGGTCTCACGGCCACCTTCGGCGTCTTCACCGAGTCGGTTGTGCGAGCCCTCAAGGCCTCGGTGGACGCTGGTGGTCTCGGTCGCCGGCCCATCCTGTTCCCCCTCAGCAATCCCCTCACCAAGGCCGAGTGCACATTCGAGCAGGCTGTGCAATGGACTGACGGCACTGTCATCTTTGCTTCGGGTTCGCCCTTCTCGTCCTTTGCTATGAAGACCCCGGACGGCAATGTCGTCGACTACAATCCCAACCAGGGCAACAATGTCTACGTCTTCCCTGGTCTTGGCCTCGGTACCATCTTGGCCAAGGCCACCAAGGTCACCGACAACATGGTGTACACTTCGGCCGCCGCCCTGGCCGAGTCTCTGAACACTGACGAGCTCCGCAAGGGCTTGATCTACCCCAGGATCGAACGCGTCCGCGATGCCAGCTTGATCGTCGCCCGCGAGGTCATGAAGGCCGCGCGGAGGGATGGCGTCTCCAAGCTTTCCGACGAGCAATGGCATGAGTGGGAGGAGTGGGGCGACGTTGCCCTGACCGCCTACATCAAGGAGCGCATGTATGATCCGGTCTCCTTTCCTACTGAGAGGGCTCGCTTCTGAACATGATATGTGGCCGAAAATGAGCTTCGCTGCGCTTGGATGTGAAGAAAAGAAAGAAAGAAACTAGAGGTAGGGGCACAGCCGGTCAAGGGATGCTTATAGACGGGCGAGGGAAAAACAAGGACCGAGTTGGGTAACGTCTATTGGGATGAAGTCGGCGTTTTGGGATGTGAGCAACCCCGTAAAGGGGCTCACTGGATTTTTTCCTTTTCTTTTCTCTTTTTCCTGACATTTGAGAGGCCCAAGACTGGCTTTCTATGTCTTGCGACGGAGGGTTATGGCGCTTCATGTCCTTGACATGTGTCACACAGATACCATACATAGTTTCCTTGGAATTCCTTTGGACCATAGACGGTCCTTTTCTTTCCCGCATTATTCAGTACCTACCGCCTTGGGACTTTCGGTTATCGTGAGACGGGAAGACGTTGTTTTGCAATATGTCGCTGCATAGAATGGAATGTCTACTCTTCTGGACTTGACTATTCCGACGCCGGGTTTGCCTCTTGAGTACACTATTGTTTTCCACTTTTGACTGTCATGAAGGCCTTCTTTCACTGACTCCTTAGCCGTGGACACGGGGGGAGGATAGACTAGATAGAAAAAAACAAGAAAAAACCTGTGGGTATTTTGGATGCTAATGCCAATATGAGCCGCCGCCACCGCCGCCGCCGCCACCACCCCCAAGAAACCTTCGCCATACCTCTGGCTCGAGTTGAGTAAAACCAGTGAGACAAACAAAATGAAAGGAAAGGACAGGAGACAAAAAAGGAGCAAGTAATGTAATGTCCATCAATGAGTGGGTGTGAGAGAGAGTGTGTGTACGAGTCAACTGAGACTATATGCGGGAGATTGTCAAAGCAATACTCGTGGGGTTCGTTTTGTTGGGAAAAGAGTGAGTGAAAAGATAGATCAGAGGGGGCGTATGCGTAATGGGTTTCGTGTTTGAGGGGATAAGTTTCCCGCGCATGATGATGATGACGAAAAGAGGCCAACACCCCGTCAAGTCGAGATGGCACATCATCATCACCCCTTCCTGAAGAGCCGCTTGGTGGCGCCCACGCGGCCCAACTCGCCAAACCTGCCCTCCTCGGGCTTCCGCTCCCCGCTCGCGAGCCGGACCTTTTCCTTGACGCTCTCGACCCAGGCGCGGCTCTCCTCGCTGATCTCCACCTTGCGGCCCGTCGGGCCCGCCAGGCCCAGCGAACTGTCCTCCTCGCCCCAGCTCCGCGAACTGGATCTCGATCTGGCTGATTCGTCTGAAGGGGGTGCTTCGCTCCCCGGGCCCCCATCCTGCTGCTGCTGCTGCTGCTGCTGCTGTTGCTGTTGCTGTTGCTGTTGCTGCAGCTGCGGCGGGGCGGGCGTGCGGGGAGGAAAAGACGCGGCGGCGGCGGCGGGTCGCAAGCCCGAGGACCCATGTCCGGCGCAGGAATCGTCCACGGGGAGGCCAGCCGTGCCGAAGGACCTCCTCGTCTTCCGCACGTTGAGCGGCGTCATGGGCGAGCGTTCCAAGGCCGAGGCGGGACGGGCGGGCGGGCTGGCGGTGGCGGCGCGGCTGGAATGGGCAGCCACGCGGGGTAGGTCGCGCACCTCGATTTTGGCGGCCGAGTCGAGGTTGGCGGAGCGGCGGCCGTGGTGGGAGGCGTACTCCTTCAGGTACTCGCCCAGGTCGGCCCAGCCGCCGCCGACGCGGACCATGACGCGCTCGCCGCGCTCGCCGACGCAGCGGATGAGGAGCTTGATGGGGGCTTCGCCGGTGGTGCGGGAGAGGTGGTAGACTTTGGTTTCCTGCTGGCCCTGGCGCCGGGGTCGCGGGTTCCTTCCGTAGGCTGGCGCGAGGAGGAACGCTGGAGTGGAGGCGCGGGTGGAAGAGCGGGACGAGAGCCCGGACGCACTACGCCGGACGACGGGTTCCTTGGGGCCGCCCCCTTTCTTGACCCTGAGGACGGGCAGGTCGGGAGGGGGAGGGTTGAGGTTGACTTTGGTCGGGGATACGGCCAGCTTGATGTTGGCTGGGATGGATGCTAGGAGGTGGCTAATCTGCTGTTGGAGCTGATCGTCCCCGCCCACGTCTGAAATCATGGAGGAGCCCTCCATCATGGTGGATGACTCGCCCATGTCCTCTTCGATGAACGATGGTGGGTCCAGGAGGGAGTTAGATGTCAGGTCATCTGCATCTAGGGCCGAGTCATCTGGGGAGTTGACACTATCCTCCCGGAATCTGAACGACGTTGGGGGTGAGCTTGGGGGACTCGCAGGGCTCCCCATGTCGGAATCGTTCTTGCGCCGAGAGAGCTCGGGCTCGACCTCTGCTTCGTCTTTATCCGAATTGGTGCTCAACCGAGGCAGAGGAGGGGCGACAGCAGCTTCAGTGGGCTGAAATTTGTCGCGTGGTAATGGGGGGGACGCCGAGATCTCCGGCATGTCACTGGTCGCAATCGGGCTTGTCTGACCGTGGATGATGGTCGGGGAGTAGGATGATCCGGTAGAACGGCGACTCCTGTGTATGAGAGGCGGGAGTTCGGGTTCGTCGTCGGAGTCTCCTCCTCCTCCGCTCTGGGGGCTACCATGATTGGAGCTGCCGGAGGAATCCTCCCTTTGTTGCGCTACCGGTGTCGGTAGATGGCTTTTGATGGGATCCATATCCTCAGGTCCGTCGTGGGATGAGACATCCCGCCTGTGAAAAGAAACCGGAGTGTGGAGACGAGAATGTCCCGGCCGTGACTCTGACGGCGCCGGGAGGCAGAGCGACCGTGCACGCATGTGAAGTCCCGACTTGGCATCGGCATGAGCACTATCATCAGCCGTGGACTCGCGGTTCCTGGCAGGCGTCTCTGGTAGGGCCGTATCTTGGGAGGACAAGGCGTGGGATTGTCGAGTAGGAGGAGAGTGCATGTCACGGCCTTGACCCTCGCTTGCACCGTCGGCTGGTGGTGCGATGGAGATGGGAACGGGCGCAATGGGCCTCGCCTTCACTTCGACTTGTGTCGTAAGAAGCCACTCGGCGCCGCGGATCTTCGCCTCACAGGCGGCATGCCAAGCAGCGTAACCGTGCTCGAGGTTGTCCATACGGGTGACCCACGAGTCCGGTAGAGTGTCCGGTACGCCTTCGAGGCTGTCAAGCATGGTGTCCATGATTCGAGCGGCCGTCGCGATCTTCTTTTGCAGCACAGCCCTCATGATGCCAAAGTCCTTCTCGGTCAAGGCGGGCGACGTTCCCGGGTTTCCAGAGGCGTCCGGACCTCCAGTTGGTGCTGCTGCTACGGAGTGCCTCTTTTTGGAGGCGGAGATGACGTTCCATCCTGACTGCAGAGCGACCTCGGCGTCGGATAGGGAGGAGAGTAGCGAAGGGATTCGTTGCAGGACGGAGAGACGTATTTGCCAGACGGACAATAGACGGGCGAGCCTGGCGAGGTTAGGCAGGGCCTGGACGATGATGGCTGTGACGACGGCTGTCAGGTCGTCTAGGTGGTTGTATGCGGAGAGCGATACGATGGAGCGATTGTCGGACACGGGGGTGCCGGGCCTGGAAAGCGGGAGGATATGGTTGTGCAGGATGTGGGTCTTGATCTCGTCGACTTCCAGCTCGTCCAGATCGTGGGCGATCTCCTCCAACCTGCGCTCGTACTGTATGACGTCCCGAGTCGGAAGATAGCCCGAATATTCCGGATCCTGCCCTCGGTCACCCGGCGCCGAGCCCTTGTTCAGTGATAGCTTCAACCTCCTGGCCACGGGCGCCTCGAAGCCGGCCGAGCCCCCCATGGCCGGCCAAGGCCACTCGGACATTTCGTCGAGCCACTCGTATGTCTTCTGGCTGGCGACGGCTGTGCGCATGGCAAAGTCTTGTTCGTTTGCGGTCGATGCGTCGAGGCAGGCCTTGAGCGACGGCGTGGGATGCTGCAGGACGTCGACGGCAGACATTGGGGTCAGCTGGCTTAGAAGTTCGTCGTGGATGCGGGATCGCGTGGGGGAGTGCTCGTCGGAATGGCGGTATTGGCGCCGGGACGAAGGCTTGAGCTTATGCCCCGGACCGGGGAGGATAGATGTCGGTGCGTGGTCGGGCATGGCGAGAGTTTTGCTTTGCTGGAGTGTTAGTGGGCTGATTGATCGATGGTGTCTCCTGAAGAATGGGGAGGCATGATTCGATCGATGAAATGGGCTCGTCAAGGCGCGGACGGGGCCAGAGCCATGCTTCTTTTCGTCTCAAGCTCGAGAGGAGATGCGGTGGAAACGACCCGCGGTGATGGAAGCCAGCGTTCGTTCAGGCTACAAACGGAGGTGACAGGTCTGTAATGGTCGTCATCATGGATCGGGGGTAATTTGCGATCTGGGCGACGAAGATGGCGGCAGTTATTTGTAGTGCCAGGCCAGAGCACGGCGAGCAGGAGCAGGAGCAGGAGTAGAAAGAAGACAAAGGGTCAGAATGTCACGGCTCCGACGCTGAGGCTGATGGTGTGCATATGCAGGTCCCCAACCCAAACGTTGTACGTCCTTCAAGGCGATGATAGAACCCTTGACCGAAAGAAAGGGTAAGAGAGGGAAGGAAGCAGAGGCAATGATCGGATAATGTCGGGTAGCCGCAGGACCCAGGTTGGTGACTCTGGTTGGTGATGGACGATGGCGGATCCCAGGCGAGGTGGAATTCGAGTGGTCGGAAATGCAATAGACTGGTCAATGCCTGGAACGAGAATGAGGACGAGATGAAGGGCGAAGATGAGGTCGGAAGGCTGGGGTTCGAGATGGTTTCGCGATAGAAGAGATGGAGATGGAGATGGAAATGAAAGAGAGGGGGGATTCAACGAGCGAATGACGATGTGTCTTTTGGTTTCAAACAAAAGCAAGACAAAAAAAGAAGTTAAGACATGGCAAACGGGACAAGAACAAGGAAAAGAAATCGGAGGAAAAGTGAATGGTTGGGATAATGGAAGAGGGAGAATGAAGGTATTCTACCACCGGGACCGGGTCGAAGATTGGGGTTGCTACCCAGCGGATGGAGTTGTGTTGTTTTACTTCCAGGTTCGTACTTTCTACCTTACTCAGCTGCCTGGAGGAGTACCAAGTACATATACATGTGGGCATCATTACGGCGCCATAGAAACCGGGCGGGATCTTAGGGGGGCCTGTCGGATTACCCACTTTGTACAAGTACGTATTGTCTTGTACGCGAGAACAGGTACGTACCCGTGCAGGTGCGTGCATGATGGTAGCATGATGGTATCGTGAGATCGACCCGAGAATCCCAGGTATCTCGCTTTAGTAAGGTACCTACCTATAGGTACCTTAGGCAGTTCTTCTTAAACTGCCTCACTTTCACGGTTTCACCTTGGACACAATCCCATCATTGTCTACCTTATCTTCTTGTATGGAGTCTACACGTCTACAGATGCATACCCCCCGATTAATTCGGAGAATGCCCCCCAGGAAACACATACCCAAGCTCCGCCAGAGTCCTCGCTGGACGATTCCCGCCTTGCTTTTCAAATCGCATCTTGGCATCCGCTATGATGCCCCGTTCCCACATCGTCTCTTCTCCCCAATACGGAGGCTTCTTCCTCTGCCCCGCCGACGACCACGCCGTCATCACCCAGTCGTGCAGTTCGTTAATGTACAAGCCATCATCCCCATGCTTCGCAAACGTATGCAACGCTTCCCCCTTCGCCTCCGCCAGCCGCCTCTCCCACGCCTCCATCTCCTCCTCCGACGGCAGCCGTAACGCACCAGCCCACACCGCCGCCACCGCCGCCCCCTGCGCCTCGGAGATCTGGAACGGCACCGCCTTGACCAGGAGCCCCACGAACGCCAGCGTGGGGTGCCGCCTCAGGAACACGTGCTGGTACAGCCCGTGCACGCCATGACCGGTCGTCAGCAACCCGTGCGCCAGGTCCGGCACGAGGAAAGGGTAACTGAACAGGAAACCCGTGCAGTACACCACCGCGTCGACCCCTTCCTCCACCGTCCCGTCCTTGAGCCGGATGGCCCGTGTCCTCCCGGGCAAGAAGGCGTCGATCTCGGCCACCTCGTCCGCCCGCACGTGCGCCAGCTTGTCGGCCGGCGTGGGCGTACCACGGACCGACAGCAGCGTGCGTGCCGCGACCTCGCTGACCTGCCGCGCGACGTCGAGTCCCGAGGGCCCGTTGCCGACCACGACCACCTTCTTCCCCGCCAGGGGACCGGGAGACCTGTAGCTTTTCGAGTGCGTGATGACGCCCGGGTGCGCCGCGTGGAAGGCCTCGATGCCCTCCACGGCCGGGATGAACGGGGTGGCGTAGTGCCCGTTGGCGACCACCACGGCGTCGAACGTCCCCGAAAATGTCTCGCCCGGCGTCACGGTGGATGCGGCCTCGACGTCCCACTGGTCGCGCCGCCCGCCCTCCTCTTGCCGCAGGGAGACCTTGTCGACGCGGAAGCAGAACTTGATGAGGTGGCGGATTTCCTCGGCGTAGCGTACCACGTACTGTAGGATGTCTTGCCGGGACGGAAAGATCCACGAATCGTCTGGGAACGGTTCGTCGTGGTACTGCATCAGCGTCTTGGGTATATTGGCGTGCAGCCTCTCGTACATGGGCGTCGTGTACGTGGGCGCTTTGCGTGTTGCCGCCGCCCCTCCCCCGTCGTGCTCGGGCGGCAGAGGTGGATCGGGCGGATAGAATGGGTCGGTCTGAGGAATCGGAGGCGGCCTGGGCGTCTCCCGACTATAGCGCCATATGCCGCCCACTTCGGCCTGTTGTTCGAAGATGACGATGGACTGGAAGCAGCCCCGATCCAACAGATACTTGGCTGTCGAGAGGCCACAAGGCCCGGCTCCAATAATGGCCACTGTCTTGACCGCGAAATCTCTACCGATGGAGGATCCCATTTTTCGATCAATAGTAACACCATGTGCTCAGAGAAGTCATCAGAACTTGGGAGAAGAGTGGTATGTGAGTCGAGATGAGGGAATGAGTCGCCTAGGTGGGTGGGAGGGGGAGGTCCTAGGTCTCCGCTTCACGCCCCCCCTCCTCGCCTGTCCCCCACCTCTTTAAATGCGACGATAAATCTAATGGCAAAAAACCCCCCAGCCTCTCGCCATCTTGCGATGATGTGATGAGAGTGGGACACGGGGATCGATCCATCGACCTTTTATTAAAGGTTCAGACATTGCAATTCGTTATTTCAAGGCATGCTGACTAAGAAATGAACGATCCAGATATCCGTTCATCATTGGTCCTTGATCTTCTGAAGCTCGAGTCGAGCAACCATGCTGTCTTCCAGGTTGTTGGCGATTCTATGTCTACGTAGCAACCCCGACAAAGTGCGAGGTGCCAACGACCATCATTTCGGCACAAACGAATAACAAGTACGGCATAGCAAGTCCCAGCCTTCGTTCACCTTCGCGTTCCTTGACCATGACGATGAAAATTCTCTACCTTGACGCCTGTTCTTTTTTCCGCTTTTCGAATTCTTAAACATCATATGCAAAGCTCATGCAGCCTTCTCTTCCGGACCCGCCTCTTGGCTCTGCGCTGGTTGTTGTTCTTGTTGTTCCTCGGCCGGCACCCCATCCTGCCCCTGGGCATCCTTCGGCCGAACGGGGTAGTGTGTGCCCTTATTCTTGACCTTCTTGACCTTCTTCTTCTTCTCCTCCGGTGGCGGGTAGGCCTTTGTTGTCACCTCCTGCCACTCGGCCGAGGCCTCGAACGCCGCGCGGATCGGCGCCGTCAGCTCAATGAGCGCCTTGGACAATGCCGGCTTGAGCATCTGGGGCGTGAGCTGAAAGAAGAAGAGCGTTAGCACACCGCCACATGAAGAAGCCTTTTTCCCCCCCGCCGCCGCCGCCCCGACCCACTTACCACTTCGTTCGCATAGTCCTCGTATAGCTTCTTCGCATCTGTGTATATGAGCGGCTCTTGCTCGTGTCGGTCAACGCGGAACTCCTTTTGGCCGAGGAGTGCCGACGTGGGCAATAGCACGTATTCGACAAAGGCTAGCAGTCCGTTGCCTTCGGTGACCCGGGGGGCCGCTTCGGCTTTGCGGATCTTCTTGGTGATGACCTCGGGGGGGTCGAGGAGATCGATCTTGCTGTCTGTTGCGCGTCGTTAGGTTCAACTTTTTTTTTTCTTTTCTTTTTTACACTTCAAAGGGGAAAGAGATATTCTGGCGCTTACCCTCGTCACTCGAGCTCATCTTACCACCGTGGAGGCCTGGCACCATCGGGTTGATCAAATGAGCGCGCTGGGAATATAATGTTAGCAATCGCATCCTGGTGACAAACGCGCCCCCCCCCCCCCTTCTCAGAGTAACAACATACCTCTTTGTATCCAAGCTTGGGAAGCCAGTCCTTTGCTGCCACAAACAGCTTCCTTTGATCGCGACCTAGCCAATGTGTTGTTCCCCCTATTAGCATCGAACCGTCCCTGCCCGCACAGGAGACTCGAGTGCACCCACCTCCAAACTGAACATCAACCTTCAGGTATTCCTCGTCCAGGATCTGCAGAATGGGATACAGGAGACCGCTCAGCGGCGCATTGTTCGATTGCTTGACCGTCTCGGCGCCGGCGCGTTTCGCGTCGTGCTCCGACACCACCGAGCTCAGCCGGTAGACGTCCATGACGTAGTCGGCGTTCTTCTGGTACGAGCTTCCGTAGATGAACTGGAGCTGCTCCGTCCGCACGCCCACGGCCTTGAGCATCGACGTAATGATGAATTCATAGTACTTGGCACGCTGGTTGACGAGCTCGAGGGGCGCCTTGAGGTTGTCGAGGAACGCGTGGATGTCGGCGAGCAGGATGGTGACTTCGCACCCCGCGGCCAGGAACTGCGCGATCTTGGTGGCGGGGACGAAGTAGCCGCAGTGAGGTCTTCCCGTGGTGGCGGTTCCTACAGAGTACGGATTCACAGTAGGTGAGTATTATGCCGCCAAAACGAAATACGAGAAGGGGAGAAAAGGAGAAGAAGGAAGAAGGGAAACGCGCGAGAACCCTACCCCAGTAAATTTTCACGTTGCGACCCGAGTCCAGGACCTCTTCAATGATCTGAGGGTCGAGGACCTCCTCGAGGTTCTCGTTAATGAGAGCGAGCTTCTCCTCTTTCGTCTGCGGTGCCATGATGACGGGCGACCCTGCAATCCTCGAAAGTCGTGTGTCTGGTTGTGTTGTAAAAATTCGGGTCGAATCGCTCTGGATGGACGCGTTACTTCTATTCAATCCCCTGAGATCAACTGCCCTGACTCACAGTTGCACGCCCGCGGGGTTTCCGACGATAATATGGGCAACGGAGTTCCTGCCCCGCGAACCCCACCATCGGCCGGGCCGCCACATTGCCAGTGGCGGTGGCAGGTGCAACCGTTCTTATCGGATATGAAGCCACGTGACTCGAATTTCCCGTTTATCGGAGAGAAAAATTACAAGTTCGAAGTACCTACGGAGTACGGACCATGCCACGTGATAAAGCTAGCCTCTCATTTGCTCTTCGTACTCCGTGCTAAGTGCGTGTGCCGCTGCCTAGGGGACCGCTTTTGGACGCCAGCGGCTATAGGTTTTAGTCCCCTCGAGCACCCCCGGTAAGTATAAGTCGCCAAGAAAATATATACTCTAGGAGCGGCACGAATATACTGCCTACCCATAAAGGTACTTATTATCGCCCTCGAGGACTAATACAAAAAACGGTAAACTGGCTATATTCGACGGAGTTAAAAGGTTACTCTCTCCCAGGAGCTACCCGGGTCCTCTCCCCTCTCTAAAGGTACTATGCCCTATACTCCCGTCGAGTCCCTCTAAGTATATCTCCCCACTTCTAGTATACTGCTGCTCGTTTCGTAGATATAGATATAGACCTACTCTTATATCGCGTCTAATAGGACTTTGCCGATAGCGACCTATCGGACGTATTAGAGATTACCCTAGGCGAGCTACATGCCGCTATAGAGAAGGCTAATACTCGCCGTCCTATTAGGCCGCGATATTCGAAAGCATACGACCGTAATATCGTTTAGGGCTAGCGACGATAGAAGAAGTTCTATCTCTGGATAAAGTATAAAGAGGGTTAGCGGGATAAGCTTAAGGGTCTAACCTACGATAAGCGAGGCCTACTTAAGAGCTTTATTAAGTATTGCCTTAAACGATAAGGCTCTAAAGTCGGAGCCAGGTTAACGATTAAGAGGTATATCTTCGAGACCTATATAGTCTATAAGAAGTATACTAACCTCGCCGTCGATAAGGCCTTATAAACACACGCGCTTAATTATATTACCGACTTTATTAAGCGTAAGTATAAGCTAAGGACTAAGCCGAAGATTAAGAATTATATTAGACCCGACGTATACCTTTACCTATCTTACTTTCTATAGGTACGCGACTAGAAGAGGCAGTTTAGTATTAGCCTCGACCGCCTCGACGATACGACTCTCCGATACTTCCTTATATTTACTAGCGCTTAACGCTATAAGCTTGTCTACTATAATATTCGAGAATAGAAGGTATTAAAAGAAGAATACCACGATCCCTATAACGCTTTTACTAATCTAAGCGAGGACGATAATATTCCGCCGCCCTAGGGTCCCTGCTAGGTATACGGTAAGGACGATATTAGGATAACCTAGGCGAAAAAGGTCCTTTACTAGGAGGATATTAAGTTATGGATTATGTAAGACCCTTTCGATAACGGCGGTAGAGACCGGCTAGCTATATCGGTGCTCTTCCGATTCTATAAGGGCCACGAGAGGCAGTAACGGCCCACTAACTTCCTCTTTATCGAGGAAGACCTGCCCGTGATCTGCCCCGTCTCTTACTTACTCGCGAAGGCGCTAGCCGAAGGCGTTATCGCTAACGAAGGGTTCTCTTAAGCCAAGAACTTCTTTCGCACTAAAATTACTAAGCGCGGTGTGTATTTTACGTGGAAGGAAGAGTTTATATATAAACCCGTTTTCCGGTAGTCGGTTAAATCGCTAAAGGGCTACGCTAAGTCCGATAAGCCCCTTATAATAAACTAGTTAGATAATAACTCTAATAGACTAGGTAAGGTAGTGTTACGTCGGCTTCCGATCCTCTATAGTTATAGTGGACGATAGGGGATAGGCGTAGGGTTTAGTTCTTAAGAGTAAGAGAGGATGATAACTAAAGAGTAGTAACTATCGTTCGTAGTGTTTTAGTCGTAGTTACGTTGTAAAGACTAGGCGTCTTCTTCATAAGATAGAGTCAGGCGTAGACTAATAGTCCAGGTGAAGACTTAGATTAATCGATATCTTATTCCCTAGTAGAAGTAAGACCTAGGATACTCTAGTATATATATGTATTTCCGGCGCCCGGATCGATGCCCTCCCACTATAATCCTTTTGGGATTATAGGTTGTCCTGGATAATCCCTTCGGATTATAGGGATTATCTATTAAGTCCTTCGATCCGGTAGTCACGTGTCCGCGTATATGACCCGCGTTCCTCCTGACTTAGCTTGCCCTCTATGCTATAGTGGTGCCTATACTTAAGACCTAGGGTCCCGTAGCAGGCCCGGCCCGGGCCTTGTCTTACTAGCCGTAATATTACCTCCCTCCTTCTAGGTTACTATCCCAGTATCTATAAGTACGTGCCCCCCGCTCTTTGGCCCGTTCCTTATTTCTCTTCTTTACTAACCGTCCTTCCACTATATCAGGTCGCGTTAATAAATCTTCCTCGCGTCACCCTAAAACCGAAAGGCGTGACGTTCTCTTATAACTTCTCCTCTATAACCCTTCCGCTATGGATCGTCCTTATTCTTTCTGCTCCGAAAAGAAATTATCGTACGCGACTTTATCCGACTCCTCCCGCTACCTTAGCTATATCAAAAATAATCAGTCCCGTTACGACGCTAAGGGGCTAACCCCTTAATAACTTCGCAAAATCGGGGATAATTATTCGAAAGTGGAGGCGGAACTCGAAGCCGCCGAGGACAAGCTCGTGCAGTCGATAGCGAAGGTTTAACGTTTAAGAAAACAGAAAAAGTTATAGTTCGAAAAGATAATACGGGCGGTTTCCCGAGGTATTGATAGTATGGAGGAACTAGAGCGTGTGGAGAGGGAAGAGGCCGATCGGGAGCGCGAGCGGTCCTCTAATAATCGTCCTTCTTCTCCGTCCTCTACGCACCTTCCTAACGGCTTTATAGATAACTAGGATACCGTATACTCGGATATAGTTTTGTCTCCTTCGGTGCTTACGGAGTTTAGCGTGGTATAAGGTGCAGGAGTGTCTAGTTCTAGGTCCTAACGGTGTTTTATCGGTATTGCTTTAGGAGTTATTTATAATTAATTAGGTTGTTTTTGGGTTCCTATATATTATCGCCGTGGTCGTAGTTTTTCTATTTAACGAAATATTCAGTGCTATCTAGCGTCTCTCGATAATCGAGGATTCGTTCTACTTCGTACACGTCGCTAGTATCTACCACGATCGTGTTTTATATAGTTTTCGCGTTTTTTAGTGCTGGTTTAAGTAATAAAATATAGAAATTATTATATATCCTTATTATCGGAGGTAGTGATAGAATATAGTTCGTGTCTGACTTTTTCTCTAGGATTTTGAATAGTCCTATTTTTTTGAAATCCAATTTATCGCTTAGTCGCTATATCTTAATGTTTTTACGAATAAGGTAGACGCGGTCCCCCCTCGAAAGGGTTAGTCCCTTAATCCTCGATTGATTTACGTACCTGCTTATTCTTATTCTGACTATTTCTAGGTTAGTTCGTAGTTCTTTATATAGTTTTTTTATGTTTTTAACTGTTTTTGTTGCTTTTAGTGCGTCGGGTCCTTCTAAAGGTTTCCTAAACGCTGCTAGAGTGTATATATAGTTTGCTTCGAATAGTGTTTTCTTTATTAACTCGTTTATCGAGCTATTATATATAAACTATACGAGTAGTAGGTACTCTACCAATTATCTTACTCATAACTAATATAGTATCGTAGATACTATTCCAGGACTTGATTTATAATTTCTGTTTGTCCGTCGGTTATAGGGTGAAAGGCTATCGAGTACTTATATTTTACCCCTAGTCGACTCATAACTGCTTTCCAGAAGTTACTAGTAAATAATTTATCTCTATCCGTGATAATTTCGTTTGGTATGCCGTGATCCCTAATCAGGCGGTCGATAAAGATACTAGCTAGTTCTTCTACCGTGGTGTTTTTGATATATAGAATATAAAGAGTGTATTTCGTGAATCGGTCGACGATTACGAGTATACTATCGTAGGCGGTTCCTATTACTGGATCTTTAGATACTAGGAATCCTATTACGAAGTCTATTATAACTGATTTCTATAGTCCGTCTGCTACTAGTAATAGCTTTAGTAGTCCGTAAGGTTTATATCTGCTGCTTTTTGCTTTCTAGCAGATATCGCAGTTACGAATAAAGTCCCTGACTCGTTCTTTGGTTCCTTTATAGCCGTATTATTATCGTAATCGGTAGTATATCTTATAAACTCCTTAATATCTATGCATTAGCGAGGCGTGTGCTTCTTTAAGCGTGATATCGGTCGTCCGGTCGATACTGTTTACCTCTCTATTCTTCAGGGTAAGAGCTTCTCCCTCCTATTAGAGTATAGCTTATAGTTTAGGTGATTCGTTAGGTGTCCCTAGTCGGCTAAGTGCGTCTGCGCGACTATTTTCGCTTCCTTTTATATACTGAATATAGAAGTTGAATTCGGATAAGAATTCTGCCCACCGGATCTGTTATTTATTAAGAACCTTAGTAGTAGTGAATTATACGAGGTTCTTATAATCCGTGTAGACCTGTACCGGGTGCCTTATCCCTAATAGATACGGTCTTTATTCTTTAAAGGCCTCGATAATAGCTATTAGCTTTTTATCGTGGATCTGATAGTTGAGTTCTGGTCTACTGAGCTTCTTAGATATAAAAGCTATAGGGTGTAGTCTCCTTTCTGCGTCGCGCTATCCGAGTTATGCTCCTAGAGCCTAGTCGGACGCGTCTGTTTCGAGTTCGTATTCTTTATCGGGGTTTAGTATTATTAAGATAGGTTCGCTAGTGACCCTGCCTTTAAGGGCTTAGAATGCTTCTTCTATCCTTTTATTCTATCCGAAGTCGAGCCTTTTTTTAGTTGCTTTAGTTAAGGGGATAGTAATCTT